TCACATCACCACTAGTTGCTGGCATTTTTCTAATTAAATCGTCATGCAACTTCCTAGCCTTTTCACATATGATCGCTTGAGAGATGCTATCTCCTGCTATCTGTTTTTCGTTTATCCATACCAATAACAGTCTCTCAACATCTTCTATCACTTGCGATCTCAGTTTCAAAAACATAGTTGCACCTTTGGCAAGAACAGCTTCCTTGATTGCCGTTTTCTTGGCCACAATAGTAGCGATGGTTGATTGGGGTTTTGTGTACAGCCTGGCCAGCTCGGAGACATGCACTCCACTTTCATACTTAGCAATGATCTCTTTCTTCATATCCATAGTAATTCTCACCCTTTTTGCTGTAGGGTTGGCACTAGAAGCTTTCCTGGGGCCCATGGTGACTTATTTTGCAGGTGTAATCACTAAAAAGGCTGTGATAATATGAAATGTTCTGATTGTATGCTTGGAAGCGACCGCGGTGGCTGGCTGGCTTGTAAACACTGGCCAGAAGTGGACGCATCTCAGACGGAACGAATAGTGTTGGTCGAGTTTTTTAGCGCTAATCGAGGCAAAATTTTTGAGATAAAATGTATCGCTAGTCAGATTTATCGTTAATCGACGCCATTGCTGGTCGAGGGTCCACTGTATTAAACAACCATGATGACATTACACATCCCTGTCTAAGACCTACTTTTACCAGAAAGTAGTCTCCCTCTGTTCTACACACCCTAACCTGAGCCTCACTATCCTCATAAAAACTCTTTACAGCATTTAGTAACTTACCACCTATTCCATATACATGTACTTGCAACATCTGCCACATTGCTCCCCTATCCACTCTATCATATGCCATTTCTAAATCCATAAATGCAATAAAAACTTCCCTACCTTTATCTAAATACTGTTCACATATATGCTTCAATGTAAACACTTGATCTACACATCCCCTACCCACTCTAAAACCTCCTTGCTCATCCGCACTCCTACATTCTGTCTTACCTCTAATTCTTTCAATAATAACCCTACCATACACTTTTCCTGGTATACTCAGCAAACTTATTCCTCTACAATTTTTGCAATCTCTTTTGTCCCCCTTCCCTTTATATAAAGGGACTATACATGCTCTCTGCCAATCCCTAGGTACCTTCCCCTCTTTCATACATTTATTAAACAAAAATACCAACCACCCCAACCCCCCCCCCTGCTTTTAACATTTCTGTCATGATCCCGTCAGTTTCAGCTGCTTTACCCCTTTTCATTCAATGTAATGCCTCACGCACCTCCCCCACACTCACATCCTGCTCTTCTTCACTCCTAAAAGATAGTATACCTTCCTGGCCAGTGCATGAAATTACCGCCTCCCTTTCTTCATCGACATTTAAAAGTTCCTCAAAATATTCTCACCATTTACCCATTTACCCTAAGAAGCAAGATTGCCACCCATCTAGAAACCCATCAATTACACAACCCAGGGCAACATGGGTTTAGAGCAAGTCGCTCCTGTCTGTCTCAACTATTGGATCACTACGACAAGGTCCTAGATGCACTAGAAGACAAAAAGAATGCAGATGTAATATATACAGACTTTGCAAAAGCCTTCGACAAGTGTGACCATGGCGTAATAGCGCACAAAATGCGTGCTAAAGGAATAACAGGAAAAGTTGGTAGATGGATCTAAAATTTCCACACAAACAGAACACAAAGAGTAGTAGTCAACAGAGTAAAGTCCAAAGCAGCTACGGTGAAAAGCTCTGTTCCACAAGGCACAGTACTCGCTCCCATCTTGTTTCTCATCCTCATATCTGACATAGACAAGGATGTCAGCCACAGCACCGTGTCTTCCTTCGCAGATGACACCCGAACCTGCATGACAGTGTCTTCCATTGCAGACACTGCAAGGCTCCAGGCGGACATCAACCAAATCTTTCAGTGGGCTGCAGAAAACAATGTGAAGTTCAACGATGAGAAATTTCAATTACTCCGATATGGTAAACATGAGGAAATTAAAACTTCATCAAAGTACAAAACAAATTCCGGCCACAAAATAGAGCGAAAAAACAACGTCAAAGATTTGGGAGTGATCATGTCAGAGGATCTCACCTTCAAGGACCATAACATTATATCAATCGCAGCTGCTAGAAAAATGACAGGATGGATAATGAGAACCTTCAAAACTAGGGATGCCAAGCCCATGATGACTCTCTTCAGGTCACTTGTTCTATCTAGGCTGGAATATTGCTACACACTAACAGTACCTTTCAAGGCAGGTGAAATTGCTGACCTAGAAAATGTACAGAGAAACTTCACAGCGCACATAATGGAGATAATACACCTCAATTACTGGGAGCGCTTAAAGTTCCTGAACCTGTATTCCCTGGAACGCAGGCGGGAGAGATACATGATTATATACACCTGGAAAATCCTAGAGGGACTAGTACCAAACTTGCACACGAAAATCACTCACAACGAAAGCAAAAGACTTGGCAGACGATGCAACATCCCCCCATGGGTGTCACTAGCACATTAAGAGACAATACAATAAGTGTCAGGGGCTTGAGACTGTTCAAATGTCTCCCAGCATACATAAGGGGGATTACCAATAGACCCCTGGCAGTCTTCAAGCTGGCACTGGACAAGCACCTAAAGTCGGTACCTGACCAGCCGGGCTGTGGCTCGTACATTGGATTGCGTGCAGCCAGCAGTAACAGCCTGGTTGATCAGGCTTTGATCCACCAGGAGGCCTGGTCACAGACCAGTCCGCGGAGGCGTTGACACCCGCAACTCTCTCCAGGTAAACTCCAGGTAATACCTCCGTCTCCCCACCTAGTAACTCCCCTACTCTGTTTTTAACTGACAAATCGATTCGTTCCCTAGGCTTTCCTAACTTGTTTAACTCACTCCAAATTTTTTTCTTATTTTCATTAAAATTTCTTGACAGTGCCTCTCCTACTCTATCATCAGCTCTCCTTTTGCACTCTCTCACCACTCTCTTCACCTTTCTTTTACTCTCCATATACTCTGCCCTTATATCACTTCTGCTTTGTAAAAACCTCTCATAAGCTACCTAATTCTCTTTTATCACACCCTTTTCCTCATCATTCCACCAATCACTCCTCTTTCCTCCTTCACCCATCCTCATATAGCCAATAACTTCTGCCCCACATTCTAATATTGCATTTTTAAAACTATCCCATCCCTCTTCAACCCCCCCTCCCCCAATACCCATACTTGCACTAGCCCACCTTTTTGCCAATAGTTGCTTATATCTCACCCTAACTTCCTCCTCCCTTAGTTTATAAACTTTCACCTCTCTCTTACTTACTGTTGCCATTTCCCTTTTGTCCCATCTACCTCTTACTTTAACTGTAGCTATAGCTAGATAATGATCTGATATATCTATTGCCCCTCTATAAACATGTACATCCTGAAGCCTACCCATCAACCTTTTATCCACTAATACATAATCTAACCAACTACTTTCATTATGTGCTGTATCATATCTTGTACACTTATTTATCCTCTTTTTCATAAAATATGTATTACTTATTACCAAACCTCTGTCTACACATAGTTCAGTTAAAGGCTCCCCATTTTCATTTACCCCTGGCACTCCAAATTTACCTACTACTCCCTCCACAACATTTTTACCCACTTTAGCACTGAGATCCCCAACCATGAGTACTCGCTCACTTGGTTTAAAACTCCCCATACACTCACTCAACATGTCCCAAAATCTCTCTCTCTCCTCTACGCCTCTCTCTTCTCCAGGTGCATTAACACTTACTATAACCCACTTTTCACATCCAGCCCTCATTTTACTCCACATAATACTTGAATTTATACATTTATATTCCTTCTTTTCCTGCCATAACTTATCCTTCAACATTATTGCTACTCTTTCTTTAGCTCTAACTTTATTAGAAGCCCCTGACCTAATCCCATTCATTTCTCCCCACTGAAACTCTCCTACCCCCTTCAGCTTCGTTTCACTTAGAGCCAGGACATCCAGCTTCGTTTCATTCATAACGTCCACAATCATCTTTTTCTTATCATTCACACTACATCCACACACATTCAAACATCACACTTCAACGGTTTTCTTCTTTTTCTTTTTAGTAAACTATATGGGAAAAGGGGTTACTAGCCCACTGCTCCTGGCATTTTAGTTGACTTTTACAACACGCATGGCTTAAGGAGGAAAGATTCTTATTCCACTTCCCCATGGATATGAAAGGAAAAGTAATAAGGACAAGAACTATTAACATAAAATAAAAAAAAAAACTAAGATGAGTGTGTATACATAAACATGTACAGGCATGTGTAGTGTGACTTAAGTGTAAGTATAAGTAGCAAGACATACCTGAAATCTTGCATGTTTATGAGACAGAAAAAAGACATCAGCAATCCTACCAACATGTAAAACAAATACAAGCAGTACAGTAGTACCTTCCTGGGTGGTTAGTGTCTACCAACCTACTACCTACATATATGATACATAGTATTATTTTTGTATTCCAATGGCATCTAATCTTAGTTGTGATAAAACAGGGACACAACCTTATTGCTGACATCAAAATGAATAAAATTTGTTGAAGAGTCAGAGGATGAAGATGTGCCATTTCCTTCTGACTTCCTACAATAAATAAATACATAATGAGTGTACCATATATGAATTTTACTTCTTTCTTGTTTTTTATTTCTGGCCTAGTTCAATTGCTCAATTAATATATGATAGTGTAAACATGTTATCAGCATTTATATGCATTTAAAAGTGAAAAAAGGGCAATTCACTTTACATGGATTTTTGCTTTACAGCAGCAGCCTGGTATATTAACAAATAGTGAAAGGAATAGTCAAAGTTAAAACCTAGGAAACTTGAAATGTGAAACTAAAAATAGAAGTAAATTTTAAATATTTAATTTACCATATTTACCAAATGTAATGACCACACAACTGTTATTCAGATTTTGTGGAAAAATAAAAACAATATGGAAAGTACAGTAATGATCACCTGAGAGCTGTTAATAGAGCATATTTGAGGGCATATGTGCGAGTGTGGGAACAAGCACATTCTTCTTGTAAGAGTGTTGGAAGCAGTGCCAGCAAACTGCCAACACTTCCCATTTCTTGGCCACCATCAGCCACAGCAGCTATCCCAACACTCCCTAAGCCACCCACATCTGGCACTCGCAACTGTCCAATTGTTAGCCTGTTATAGTAGAAATGTAGTATACTGCATTGTACATGTAAAATAAAGAAATGCTTTTGCATTAAAATAATTTTTCCTTTTCCATATGACTGCCTTTTAAACAGAGATAGAATTAAAACTACTGAACATTTCATTCAATGGGTTCCTAAATATTTAAAAATTACCAAGTATCCTTGAAGTTTTTTCATCTATCATACTCATCAGTTCTGTATTTTCCAATGAAGGGATGAAAATAATAATAAATAAATAAATAATAAGGACAATGTGTGGTGTAAATATTATGCAGAGAATTTGTAGTGTGAAAATCAGGAGATGTGGAGTTACAAAAAGTATTATTCAGAGGGCTGAAGAGTGGTTGTTGAGGTGGTTTGGTTATTTAGAGAAGATGGAGCAAAACAGAATGACTTGGGTGTATAAAACTGTAGTGGAAGGGTAGGGGTCATCCTAAGAAACGATGGAGGGAGGGGTAAAAGAGGTTTTGTATGCAAGGGGCTTGGACATGCAGCAGGCATGTGTGAGTGTGTTAGATAGGAGTGAATGGAGACTAATGGTTTTTGAGACCTGACGAGCTGTTGGAGTGTGAGTAGGGTAATATTTTGTGAAGGGATTCAGGGAAACTTGTCAGTCGGACATGAGTCCTGGAAATGAGAAGTACAATGCCTGCACTTTAAAGGAGGGGTTTGGGATATTGGCTGTTTGGGGTGACATCTAAACTGTCACATCTGGGCACCTCTGCAAAGACAGTGATTATGTGTGAATGATGGTGAAAGTGTTTCTTTCTTTTCTGGGTCACCCTACCTTGGTGGGAGGTGGCTGGAGTGTTGAAAATTATTAATATTATTATTATTATTATTATAATAGAATGGCTGCAAGCCAACAAATGGTTCAAGAAAAAAAACATACATTGTAGCAAAACCAGACCTTTTACTTTCATGAGATACCACTACAAAGGGCTGTATCACTTGATACAAGTCTTCTTCAAACTCCAGATTTGATTTAATTACCCTTCAAAGGAGGTTCTTTGATAGTGGTGACCTGGCTCCTGATCTATGGTACTGAACCTGACCTGATGTTACCTTCCCTTCCCTTCCTTAGACTGAACCCAACTACCTCCCATTTCCCCAGGCACTCTATGACCTGTATGGGTCAGCACTCCACTCATAAATGTTAATAATAATAATAATGGTTAAATTATTATATTATTAAAAGGCAAATAGTACCCCTATCTGACATACAGGATATTATATATGCCTGTTCTTCCAGCCATCTTTCAACTCCCATACATAATTTGTAACATATTTTGTCCCATTTTATTTCTACTGTACTCTAAGTAACTTGCTGTATCTTCATCTTCATTCAATCACTTCACAAGACTGAAGATCTTTCAAACAAAGCACAAATATGAAAAACAGTATAGAATGGGTCAAATAACTAGAGAACAGTCGAAAAATTACTCGTCAGCGCTTACCAGCCTGATAAGAAGGTCAAAAAAATTGTATTATGAAAATAGATTACATAACATCAAAGGTGATATGAAAAAAAACCTGGAAAACTCTATTTGAAATTCTTGGAACTAAAAAGTTATCCAAAAACAAAGCAATCAAACTAACAAAATCAGATGAACCCCTACTCACTCCAACCGAAACAGCAAACAGACTTAATGTTTTCTTCTCCACCATAGGAAAAAATCTAGCAAACAAAATACCAAGCACAAACACCCGTCCATCAGACTACCTCATAGGTACCTACCCAAATACGCTATTTCTAGCTCCAACCAACTCCATTGAAGTTACACTCATCATAAACACCCTTAAAAACAAGGCAGGGGACATAAACAACTTGCCTGCTTTGATGTACAAAAAAGCTTCCCAAGTATTGTCACCAATTATTGCAACGCTCTATAACAAATCCATTGAATCATCTACCTTCTCAACAATTCTCAAAATAGCAAGGGTCACTCCGATCCATAAAGGAGGTGACCAAGCTGACTTGAATAACTATAGACCAATATCTAACTTACCACTGCTCTCTAAAATCTTTGAAAAATTAATTCATAGACGGATCTATTCCTACCTTGTATCACACAACATATTAAACCCTTGTCGGTTTGGATTCAGGAATAATAAAAGCACAAATGATGCTATTATATACATGCTAGAACTAATATATACTGCACTTGAAAAGAAAGAAGTCCCGCTGGGAATTTTCATTGATTTACGTAAAGCTTTAGATACAGTCGACCATGAACTGCTGTACTCCAAATTAATGGACCATGGTATCAGAGGCCACTCCATCAACTACCCAAGACACTGGTTTGGCAAATGTTCAACATTAATTTACTTAAATAACTTATAGGAGTTTGTACAATGGTTTCTGTAGTTCATGTTCATTGAAAAAAAAAAACTCCTGCAGAGTATCTGCAGGAAAAAATTCTGTGCTTTTACTAATAAAAAGTAATTATTTTTTCACTAACTTAAACTGAATATATGTATACTAACTCATGCATAGCAGTGAAGATAATTCACATCCCTAACAATACTGTTGCTGCTAAAAATGCAAAGCAATTTAAATATTTTTTCTTTTATTAAAACCAATACAGTATGTCAACTCTAACATATTTAATGTACATCTGCAGTATACAAGTGTATATCATAGCAGCTTAAGAGTGGATACATACAGCCTAAAAATAAAAACTTATCAAATAAATAATCAAACTATGATTCACTTAAATGAGATGGCAATGTATTAAAATGACAAATCACAATTAATTTGTATGACATGAAATATTTACTAAATGCCTCAAAGAATTTCAGTTAATAAAAGGCATTGGACATCACTAGAATAAAATTAACTTACTTGGAATCTCTACCTATGGCTTCTGCAAACCCTAGTGTCCAGGGTAAGTTAGAAGTGTCCTTGGTGTGGTCACTACTTCTCTGGTCGCTGTCACTCTGCTGCGAGTTTGCCTGTGGTCTTGTCAAGGGTAGAGAACGGCCAGACCGACTGGTGACATCCACAACACTAACTGGTCTCCTTGATCTGTAATCATAATTAACTGTCTGAGGCAGTAAAGCTTGGCTGACTCACTTAGAAAATAGTAACAGTTGATTATCTATTTCTAAGGTAATTGTGAAAAGCAACTCTAGCAGCAACATAATACACCACCTGCCTCCTTTTCTCATTCTCTCTCAGGTATCGCTTTCAGTTTTTCTGTACACTGTATAGTATTATTGTCTATAGATAATACCTCGTTCCAAGGGAATGTGGAAAAGAATTCTTCCTCTGTAAGTCATGCATGTCATTAGAGGCGACTAAAATGCCAGGAGAAAGAGGCTAATAACCCCTTCTGTATAAATTACTAAATTTTAAAAGAAAAACTTTTGTTGTTCTTTTCAGGTCACCCTGCCTCAGTGGTATACAGCAGGTTTGTTGAGGGAAAAAAAAAAAAGATAGTACAGTGGAACCTCAGCTTAGGAGTGCCCCAACATACAAGTTTTTCGAGATGCAAACTGTCGCTCGGTCGATTTTTTGCTCTGAGTTACGAGCCAAAATCCGAGTTATGAGTGAGCTTCCCCCCTCAACCCACAACCCACACACCTTGCTTGTGTTTATCTATGATTTCATGCTTTAATTTCATGGACATCATCCTCTTTTTCTTCTCAGCACTATCCTTTGTGCTTTTTTCAGACTTATGGTTAGAAAAAAGAAATTTGGCAAAATAACTGTGCAAAATGCAAGCCTCTGAAGCAAGTTCCTCGGCTGTGGTCTGATGCTGTTCCAGTTGAAGCTCTTGCAGTTCGTCAGTGGTTAGCTCTTCCCTGTGGTCCTCCACCAACTCTTCCACATCCCCGTCACTCACTTTATTTACCTAGCTTTCCTTGGGTCCATGATGACTTATTTAGCAGTTGCAAGCACAAAAAACAATGGATTATTATGAAATGTATTGTATGAACCCGCGGGGTGATGGTCACGTGTTGGTAAACAATGGCACACTGAGCGAGAATGGCATGAGAGACTGGCTTTGTGTGCGCGGTGACGGGCGGATGGGTACTGGATGGTCGCCGAAATGAGTTTTTTCACGAAACTCAAGGCCAAATTTTTCCAAAAAAACTCGCCGAAGGTCGAATTTCACGAAAGTCGAGGCTGCCGAAACTCAAGGGTCCACTGTACATCAATGACCTACCGAATGCATCACAGCTACTCAAACCCACATTATTTGCAGATGACTCTACATATGTCTTTTCCCACCCAAACACAGTCATACTAGCAAACACAGTCAATGCCGAATTGCAGAAAATATCTGCCTGGATGATGACTAATAAACTTACTCTGATAAAACCTATTTCATTCAGTTTGGAAACAAAGTTGCAAATGATCCGATTAACATAACGCTAAATGGATCATCAGTCACAAGACTCACAGAGGGAAAATTCCTATGTATCCACCTTGACAGTAGCCTTAAGTTCTGGACACACATACAACAAATCACCAAGAAAATCTCCAAGACTAGACTATAGGCATACTATCAAAGATAAGGTACTACGTTCCACAATCAGCTCTCCTGGCACTGTACCATACACTCATATACCCTTATCTTACATATGGAATTTGTGCATGGGGGATCAACAACATCCAATCACCTAAAACCCCTCATAACCCAGCAAAAGGCAGCAGTAAGAATGATAACGAATTCCCACTCCCGCCAGCACACTCCACCAATTTTCAAAAGTCTGAATCTGCTCACCATTAAGAACATCCATACTTATTCATGTGCCTACTACATACACAGAACAATACACGCAAATATAAGCCCTCCACTCAAACTTCTCCTCACCAACTTAAACAGGGCACATGACCACAACACAAGACACAGATCTCTTTTTGATATACCTTGTGTCCTTATCACACTGTGTAAAAACTCTAAGGGCCCTAAAATATGTTATTCATTACCAGAAGATATTAAAGTAACCCAGTCTGAAAATCAGTTTAAGACTCTTCTCAAAAGCCACTTAATCACCCTAGACTAAATGCTAAATACTCAGTACACACATACTCACCTATGTACTCCCACATCATAACTTCAACAATCACTTAGAACTTTTTATCCATTGTTGACAGGAATATAACTGAACCATTGTTTTCACAAAAAGCATTTTAGACTATATGAATATATCCTTTGTCTTATACAAATTTAATTCACTTATAATTAATAATCTACTGTTCAACTATGAAATAATTACTGTCCTACTGTACAACTATGATAAAATCCTTAATGTTAAGTAGTCTGTAAGCCAATAATGTTAAGTTGGCCCATAATGCCTAGGCATAATAGAGGCTCTTTGCATTGCAACCCACTATTGTAAATATAAAATCTCAATGTACTGTTTGCAAAGACATAAAATAAATAAATAAATAAATAAATATTGTTTATTATGTCATATTAGATCAACTGTGGTAGATAAATAAGCCAAAGAGTTGATATTAGCATTATATTGAAGTATTTTGTCTTGCTTCCCGAGAGCAGGAATTCTGCTGGAATGGATTAAATGAGGAAAATTGATTTGATGTACGAGCAAATTGAGTTACAAACTAAGTCACGGAATGGATTAGACTCACAAGTCGAGGTTCCACTGTACCTTAGTGTAAGTTTTAAGTACAGTACTTTAGATGGGGAAATCATTGGAAGATTTACAGCATAACTTCTTAAAAAGAATTAGGAGTATTTATGTTTGTACAAATTTATAATACCCTAACAGCCTTTGAGTATCCTGCACACTCATTTTTCAGCTTTTTTTTTTTTTTCTAGTAATCTCCATTTTCGTAGATGGCTTAATTTAAGCCTGCTTTTCCTATCAACTGTAGTGTTCCACATTTTTTGCTGTTCCCCTTACTCACATTATTCTTATTATTATATCATGGCCAGACAAAGCTCAGTACATGCAATGAGCCACACTGGATGGGAATTCTCATAGCAGTAGGGAAACTGTGGCTGCTGCAGAGGTTAAGTGTGACTGTTGGACATGGAGATGTGTAGCCTCCTTAGCTGGAGAGTGGTTAGGGGGTCAACACCCCCACAGCCCAATTAATGACCAGGCCTCCCGGTGGACCAGGCCCTGATCAACGAGGCTGTTATTGCTGGCCGCACACAAGCCAACATATGAACCACAACTCAGCTGGTCAGGTACTGACTTTAGGAGCCTGTCCAGTGCCTTCTTGAAGACAGTCAGGAGTCTATTGGTAATCCTCCTCATGTATGCTGGGAGGCAGTTGAACAGTCTTGGGCCCCTGACACTTATTGTGTTGTCTCTTAATGTACTTGTGGTGCCCCTGCTTTTTCATTGGGGGGTTGTTGCATTGCCTGCTAAGTCTTTTGCTTTCATATGGAGTGATTTTCATGTGCAGATTTGGGACTAGTCCCTCTAGGATTTTCCAAGTGTAAATTATTGTGTGTACCTTTCTCGCCTGCTTTCCAGGGAGTATAAATCAAGGGACTTCAACTGTTCCCAGTAATTTAGGTGCTTTATCATACTTATATATACCGTGAAAGTTCTCTGTACATTCTCCAGGTCTGCAATTTCGCCAGCCTAGAGAGAACAAGTGAGTGGAAGAGAATCATCATGGGTTTGGCATCCCTAGTTTTGAAGGGTCTCATTACCTATCCTATCATTTTCCTAGCAGCTGTGGTAGATACACTATTGTCATCTCTGAAAGTGAGATCCTCTGACATTATCAAATCAAATTTATTTCTTTGCATAGGTTACAATGTGTGAATGTATACAAAGCATGTAGATGGGTACAAAGAAAACCACTAGCATGCTGGGGCATTTTGGGCAAATTAAACCTAATGCTTACAGACTACTTAATACTAGATACATAAACAGTGGTAAATTTTAATTATACATTGTTTTCCTTATTACAACAGAGGTAGCTAGTGGTTTACAGTAATTAAATTTATAGTTGAGGTGAAGTACAACCTCTCCTCACTTAGTGACGTACTCATTTACTGACCGTTTGGACTTACGACCAGCTCTCCAACCAGTTTGCAAATCCAAGTAATGTATATTAGAGCTGATTTCCGCCATTACAGTATACATTACACTACTGTATAAACATTTAAAATATACTAGAAATGTTATAAATGATGAAAAGGTGACATTAAAAAAAATATCTAAAGATAGTTGACACAAACCCACTACTAGTATAGTATGCTCCACACTTAACAACCAATTCACCTACCAACATACTCTTAGGAACAGAACTCCATCATTAAGTGAGAAGAGGCTGTACACAAAAAATTAGTACAGTATTACAATTTAGCACAATTTACAATAATGAGATTGAAACACTTAAATTTTAAATAATGCTTAATTAATTGAGCAATCATAAATCATTTGGGATTTTTTGAGTTGCTGGTAGGTAATAAAGTATAGCGTTTGGTTAATTTTGGGAGATGAGGTGATTTTTAAGTAGAGCTTTAAATTGATTTGCAGGCAGGTCCTTCACATTAGTTTTTCACTCTATTGTGTGGTTGGAATTTGTTTAAAATTCCAATTCAGTTGTAATTTCCTTAAGTTTTTCATATCAGAGTAGTTGAAATTTGTCTTCATTGAACTTCATATTGTTTTCTGCAGCCCATTTAAAGACTTGGTTGATGTCCACTTGGAGACTTGCAGTGTCTTCGATGGATGACACTGTCATGCAAAATCGGGTATCATCGACAAAGGAAGACACGGTCTTATGGCTTACATCTGTCAGATATACAAGTGAGGAACAGGATGGGAGAGAAGACTGTGCCTTGTGGAACAGCTTTTCACTATAGCCACTTTTGACTTTACTCTGTTTACTATTACTCTGTGTTTTATTTGTTAGAAAGTTATAGATCCATCTACCAACTTTTCCTGTTATTCCTTAATCATACATTTTGTGTGCTATTACACCATGATCACACCTGTTGAAGGCTTTTGCAAGTCTGTATATACACAAATAACTCTCACACAGGAGAGAGGAGCTTACCATGACGTTTCAGTCCAAAATGAATC